CCAGGAGTTTGAGGTGGCTGTGAGCTAGGCTGACGCCATAGCACTCTACCCAGGGGAACAGAGTGAGACTGTCTCAAAAACAAACAAACAAACAAACAAAAAGTGAAAATGTTACTGAATAAATCTGAGCATCCATTATGTATAATAGCAGGAAGCACTTTTAGATAAAGTGGGAAATTTGACCTGTCATTTATTCTCAAGGAGGTTAAAGTCTAATTTTGTTTTTTAAATAAAATTGAGTTGTAAAACCCTAGTAGTCCTTACTGAGCAAAGACTATTGCTTTGGTCAAATTGTTTTTTCCCAGTGTCTAGTCCAGGGCTTGGTAAAGGAGAGCTCTAGCTTCTTGCTTGAGCCTAGGTAGGAGTCTGAGATCAGCATGGGTAACATAGTGAAACTCTGTCTCTACAAAATATTTTTTAAAAATTAGCCAAATGTGGTGGCGCACACCTGTAGTTTCAGGTAATAAATACTGGGTGGTTTTCTTCCAAAATAGACAATGAAAAATTTCACCTTGACATTAATCAAATACTCCAAAGGTTCAGCCTGTATTTGTCTTTAAAAAGGGAGATGACATTAAGACAATTACTCATTGTCAGGCGCAGTGGCTCACGCCTGTAATCATAGCACTCTGGGAGGCTGAGGCGGGAAGATTGCTCAAGGTCAGGAGTTCAAGACCAGCCTGAGCAAGAGTGAGTCCCCATCTCTACTAAAAATAGAAAGAAATTAGCTGGACAACTAAAAATATATAGAAAAAATTAGCCGGGCATGGTGGTACATGCCTGTAGTCCCAGCTACTCGGGAGGCTGAGGCAGAAGGATTATTTAAGCCCAGGAGTTTGAGGTTGCTGTGAGCTAGGCTGACACCACCGCATTCTAGCCCGGGCAACAGAGGGAGACTCTGTCTCCCAAAAAGAGAAAAAAAAGACAATTACTCATTAAATCATCAAGTAACATTTCCAAAAACGTAAGCTCCTGTGTTTGTGTAGACATGAAAATGCTCTTATGACAGTTACTAGATTAATATTTCACAAAGAAATGGGGACATATTAAAAATTTCTTATATGGTAAAAATATACTACTTGGATACACAAAAAAAGGGGCTATTTGAATATATATTACAATAGTTGTTCCATTTTCTTTCTTTTTGTTTTTTTGAGATAGAGTCATGCTCTGGTGCCCTCGACTAGAGTGCAGTGGTGTCATCATAGCTCACTGCAACCTCAAACTCCTGGGCTCCAGTGATCCTCCTGCTTTAGTCTCCCAAGGAACTAGGACTACAGGTGTGAGCCACCATGCCTGGCTCATTTTTCTGTTTTTTGTAGAGATGGGGTCTTGCTTTTGCTCAGGCTGGTCTTGAATTCCTGGCCTCAAGCAATCCTCCCACCTTGGCCTCCCAAAGTGCTAGGATTGCAGGTATGAGCCACTGCACCTGACCTCAGTTTTCCAATTAGACTTTTAAAAATGGAAAATAAAATTCATTGTCGATAAAAGAAATCTATAGAAAATGAAGATGTGGCTATATATGCAAAATACTTATGTAGCAACTTATCCAGAGAGCACATAATAAATTCTGTTGCACAATTCTATACATTTAGAACCTCAATAAAAAATAATTTTATTAAAAAACATAAATATACCCATGTTGACACAACAAAAGAAAGTCTAAACAGACTGATTTTTGGAGAAGAAATTGAGAAAGCTGTGTGCAGATAAACTTCAAAACACCAGATCATGACAGTTTTCCAACAAGCCTTTATAAAACAGACAATTCTTAGACTATTTAAGTTGTCTTGGGACATACAAAAAGGAAAAATTTAAATTGTCTTTATGAAGTGAGTATAATATTAACATCATCAATATCAAAACCTAACAAAAATACACAAACATACTATAGACCAATCTTACAAATATTAGTGTAAAATTCTTAAATAAAATATTTAAAACGAATCTAGTAGCTCAATAAAAGAACAATCATAATCAGGATAGTTCAACATGAGGAAGCCAATTAGTACCATTATCTTTCTAACAGATCTAAGGAGAAAAATTATAGGATCATTTCTAATGGCAATAAAAAGGCATTCACAAAATGCTCAACCATTTTCATTAGAAATATTCAATAAAATAGACTGCATGGATATTTCCTCAATATGATTTCAAAAAGCACACAGTATGTGCATATATTTCAGCCCCAAATCCAGCATGCCATTTAGTAGCGATCACCGGAAACGTTATCACTAAAGTAATGAGTAAAACCGCAGTTGTTGGCACAGATGCAGTAAAAAGGGAGTGCTCATATGCTATTGGGGGGAAGGTAAATCAGTACAACCTCCAGGGAAAATAGTACGGAAATTTCTCAAAGAAGTAATAGTAGATGTACCATTTGGTCCAGCAATCCCACTACTGGTATCCGCCCAAAGGGAACGGTCATTACATCACAAAGACACCTGCACTCAAATGCTCACTGCAGCACAATTCATAGTAGCAAAGATACAGAATCAACCTAAGTGCCACCCAACTGATGAGTGGATGAAGAAAGTGTGGTGTACATATACCCTGGAGCACTACTCAGCCACTAAAAAGAATGAAATAATGTATTTTGCAGCAACTGGGATGGAACTGGGGGCCATCATCCCAAGTGAAGTAACTCAGGAATGACAACCAACATGTTCTCACTCACAAGGGGGAGCTACGCGGTGGGCATGCATGGCCTTACGGAGTGACATAAACACAAGACACTCAAAAGAGGGAGGGCAGCAGGGGGTGAGGGATGAAAAATTACTTATTGTACCTATAAGGGTACAAGGTACACTATTTGGGTGACATATACACTAAAAGCCCAGACTTCACCACTATATCATTCATCTATGTAACATAAAACCACTTGTACCCCCTAAATTAATTGAAATTAAAAAATAAAATCAAGAATCTCCACGAGTACCACAATTTACTTACTACTAGAGACATTTTGCAGGAAAAAGAAATGAGCAGTATAAAAACTGAAAAGAATATAAAATTAAGATTGTTTGCACCTGATATGACTATACCTGGAACAACTGCGAGAATCAACTGAGAATTACAGTGAACAACAAGAGGGTTCAGGATCATAACGAGACACAACCCACACATACCGTGATCAGCAGCCTTCTTATACACAAACACACACATTACACAACGGAAGGGAGGCCTCATCCGTGACAGCAACAAAAGGATAAAAGTCTAGGGATCAACTTAAGAAATGTGTGAAAGCTTTCCAAGGGAAATGATAAAAACATGCCTGGGCAGAAGCAGCATTTCCAAAATGTTCATCAGATGCCTGAACACACACGCCGGGCGTGCGAGAGAAGCCCTTGCTTCACAAGTACACAGATGGCCTCCAGGTTTGGACAGACTGGCAGTGATTTCAGAGCCAGCTCCCGTCTTTGGCAAGACTGCATTTACCCTCCACAGACAGAGAGCCACTGGCACCATCTCCAAGAGAGAACTGCCCTGAGGGAGAAGCGAGGTGTCTGTGAAAACAGAAGCTGCCCCCACGCCTTCTGCAGGTAAACGGTGCGGAGTGGTAACACCTTAAGGAGGGTAATAACTGATCGAGTTAGGCACAGAGTTTACTGCATATAATAAGCGCCAAGATAAATGCCATTGCCGTGGTCATTATAAACTCTCAACTCTTCCTTCTCGAAAGTAGGATAAACCCCTCACACAGATGGAGGATATCATAAGGACAAGATGGGTCACAGTGGGCAGTGTGGTCGGGGCAGCTCTTGAGCCTGGGTGACTGAACCAGAAAGGGGGGAAAACAGGGCCAGTAGGCAGAGATGTTGGCAACAAGCTGGGAATGCCTGGGGTGGCAGGAAATACACAGAGTCCCAGAGGCCAAGTTCTGAGCACAGTCAGCACCTAGGAGTAGAGCCTGGAAACTTCCAACCGGGAGCGAGCAGAACAAGGAAAGCAGAGAGCTCACCACCTCTGGCCCCTGATGAGGGCCAATGTTCCAAAAGCACAAAGTAGGAAAAGGACCAAAGTACAACAGAAAATTAAAACCAAGAGCAGAGAGTACAAACTCACAAAGACCGGACCTCGCTTGTTTCTCTCTATACCTGCAGATTCTAACACAGCACAGGGCCTGACCCATGCAGGCACTCAGTGACTGCATGCTGGATGGATGGGGGACCTGAACAGAGAGGGACAGCAGTGACAGGTGTGGCTCTGGAGTCAAATGACACGAGCTGGTTTCCTGCCTCACTGCGGCCTGTAGGAATCTGAAAGGGGGTGGGGGACCTGCGGCCTTAAAGCCACTTGTGGCCCTCTATGTTCTTAAGTGCAGCCTTTTGACTGAATGCAATTTTTACAGAACAAATCCTTTTATTAAAAGGTACACAGCAGAGAAAGATGAAGCTTTTCTCACCTACTTTGGTGCTCCAAAAAGAACAATTTTGAAATCAGAAGGTCATAGGTTCCCCACCTCATGACCCTATATATAGAAAATCCCCCAAAATCTACTAGACTAATAAATTCAGTAAATTTGTAAAATAGAAGATTAACACACAAAAATCAGTCATGTTTTAATACATCAGCAATGAATAATCTGAAAAGGAAATAAGAAAAATAATTCTAGTTGTGATAACATCCAAGAATAAAATATCTAGGAATAAATTTAACCAAGGAAGTAAAAGATTTGTATACTGAAAACTGTAAAACCTTGTTGTAAGAAATTAAAAGACCTAAATACATGGAAAGATGTCCCATGTTCAGGGACCGTTAAGATGGTAATACTATCCAAAGCAATCTACAGATACAATGCAATCCTGATAAAAATTCCTTTCATACAGAAAAGCTGATCCTCAAATTCATATGGAATTACAGGGGCCCCAAATAAGCAAAACAAAACTGAAAAGGAACAAAATTGGAGGATTCACATTTCTTGATTTCAAACCTTACTACAAAGCTATGGTAATCAAAACAGTGCAGTATTGGCATGAAGACAGACATATGGACCGGTGGAATAGAAAAGAGAGTCCAGAAACAAACCCATACATCTATGGCCAGCTAACTTTCGGCAAGGTTGCCAAGACCACTCAGCGGGGAAAGAATCGTGCTCTCAATAAATGCTGCTCACTTCATCCAGGTAATTCCACCTGTGCTTCAGGTCTGAGCTAATGTAGCACCACCTTAGTAAGCCAGATGGGCTTAGATGTTCCCTAAAACTCAGCACAGGCTCTCACTGTACCCTGTCCCTCCCTTTGGTCTCGTTGCTAGGGCAGGACCATGTTTACTGTGTTCAGTAAACAGACAAGGCACTGGATACTGGGGGAGAAAATAGTGTTTCCTATTGCATAGGGACAACTTTCCAGTCAATTGCTTTGCATCTCAAGCACTTTATCTTAATAATACGAGTGAGATTCGAGACAAGTCACTGAAGAATCAAACACATACCTATTATCCCAAGGTTAGCAGCAAACATCAGAGATACTCCGATGGGAAAACCAAAAACATAGTAACCAACAGCATTCATGATAGCACCAATCTTTTGTTTTCCTGTACCTCTCAGGATGCCACCACAGGTGCCCTAAGGAAAAGAAAGCCAAAAGCAGCGTTGTAGTCACATAGCTATCGTCATGTCACACTGAGAACACTACGTTAATATCTCACAAGTTTGGACATGGTCAAATAGCTTTATCTTAAAGCAGGCATAGTACATCATGTAAGAGATGAAGGAAAACATTTTGTTTATAAAGTTATGCTAACGTAACATTATTTAAATTTCTGACTATTTATTTTGACTGTTTAAAAAATACTTTTTAAAAGCATAAGTTTCAAAAAGATGCAGAGATTTCATTGATGGTATCTCAGCAGAATTCAGTCTAGAACCATAGGTGAAGGGCCAGGCGTGGTGGCTCTCAACTGTAATCCTAGCACTTTGGGAGGCCAAGTTCGGGAGGATCACTTGAGGTCAGGAGTTCAAGACCAGCCTGAGCAAGAGTGAGACCCTTCTCTATACTAAAAATAGAAAAAATTAGCCAGGCATGGTGGTTTGCAACTATAGTCTCTGTCATCGGGAGGCTGAGGCAGGAGAAATCACTTGAGCCCAGGAGTTTGAGGGTGCTGTGAGTCAGGCTGATACCATGGCACGCTAGCCTGGGTGACAGAGCAAGATGTCACAGAAAAAAAAAAGAAGGGTCTTTAAATACCTGTGAAACAGCCAGCCTGGTGGCTCACACCTGTAATCCTAGCACTGTGGGAGGCGGTGGTGGGCGGATCGCTCAAGCTCAGGAATTTGAGACCAGCCTGAGCAAGAGTGAGACCCTGTCTCTACTAAAAATAGAAAGAAATTAATTGGCCAACTAAAAATATATAGTAAAAATTAGCAGGGCGTGGTGGCGCATGCCTGTAGTCCCAGCTACTCGGGAGGCTGAGGCAGGAGGATTGCTTGAGCCCAGGAGTTGAAGGTTGCTGTAAGCTAGGCTGACACCACAGGACTCTAGCCCAAGCAACAGAGTGAGACTCTGTCTCAAAAAAATTAAAAAAAAAGAAATCTTAAACAAAAAAATACCTGTGAAACCACAAAAGAGCAACCTAGAGAGGGACTTTCTAGTGCAGGGAGTTGATTCACAGGTAGCATGGCTGGCCTTGGAGGACTCACGCAGAGGCCACGTGGCGAGGACACCACACAACTGCGTTTAGGCACCAGATAGAGTTAGGGGAAGCAGAAAATTCAGGTCTCTTCCACCCTGAAAGGCTACACTCTTAAGGAACCCACCTTTCCTCAAATGGCTCAGACTGCTTAAAGCAATAGCTCTCTCTTCAAAAGTGAAATTACAGACATATAATTTTTAATTAAAAAGCCGAAACACAAAACAAATTTTGCTATGTATATTAGGGTAAAACCATTCCAAATACTCACTGCAAGGGCATCAAATAGATGAAAAGGAGCAAAAATAGGCATCACTTGGCTCACAAGGGAAATAATCTCTCTGTTGGAGGAAAAGAAGGTAGTCAGCGCCCTCACAATCACACAAGTGGAGTGCTGACTGACTGCTGCCCTGACAACCCGATGAGTCCATCCGCCAATTCGGTCAAAGTAGTACATTTCTTTTTGATAAAATACATAATAAAACCTCACCAATTTAGACCTTACTATTAACCTCAATTACAGAACCGAAGTTAAAAGGGACAGGAGGTAGGCTGCCACCGCAGATGGGGGCTCCTCAGGCTCTGTCTCCGGGCCGCGGGGGTGGGGGGAACAACGCGGTTTCGGCCGGGGCGGCGGGCGTCCTCACGCGGCTGAAGGCCAGTGTTCACAGGGGAGCATTTACTTCCTGGGGAGCCCCTGAAGCCTGCTCAACTTTGGTGGAAGATCCGCTGGGAGTCCGCAGAGGGGTGTCAGGGCGGGGAGAGAGACATGGGGACGCGGGGTGGACCAGGCCGCGGCGCCCTCCCGCCAAAGGCCGCCTGCTCCCCAGCTCGCCCGGGCAGCCTGCTGGGAACCGCCTGTGCGGCCGGGCAGGCCTGCAGGAAACCTCTCTCTTTGGATCGACACACAGAACTGCAAAGTCACCCAACGTGGCCCCTGTCTCTACTAAATGACATGACAACATGGTCTTTCACTCAAAAACACAAATGTTAAGCGAATGTGCACCAGACACTGAGGAAAATCAACAGCACAAAAACATAAAAGATCAAAATCAACATGTGGACACAACAGGAAACACAAAGATTACAAGGAACATAAGGAAAAAAAAGTTTTTAATTATAATCACAATTCTCAGTGACATTCATAAGCTGACAACAGGCAAAGCGAATGGGGAAAAGGTGACTGGGAATAACAAACATGGACACTGAAGTGAAATATCGAAGGGCTGGATAATGGATGCGCCTGGCTAACGACTAAATTTCAACTGGGGAGAAAAGTCGAGGAATATCCCTATACACAAAGAGACAGAAGATGAGAGAAAAGAGATGTGTCAGATTAATCCACAAGTCTTGTTATTTATCTAAAAGGAATTCCAAAAGGAAACAACAGAGAAGATGTATGGGAGGGCTAATTTTTAAAAAAGGTTAATTTCCTAGAGCTAAAGAAAAATCCAATGTTTCAGATTGAAAGTTTACAAAGTGGCAAGTAGAACAGAAGAACAAAGATTCACCTGCACCTAAACACACCCAAGGACAAAGATAATATCTGGAAGATTTCCAGAAAACAATTTCTGCCTCCAAAAGAATGAGAGGCACATTAGCGTGACAAGTCTGCATCCCAGTGACACCTCAGAAAACAGCAGCAGCCACAGCAGCTCAAGAATCCGTCTCTTTGCCAGACAACCAGTGAACTGGCAAGAACCTGGGTCTAGTGCAAAGCTCATGGTGGTGAGGACAGTGCTTGAGGAAGAAAGGGGCTGAGGAACACCGGTGACTTTCAGCATTTCCCATAGCAGCAGCCTTTCCCACCTTCCAGTCCCAAGGCTGGCCGAGGTAAGGACGGCTGCCATGTTGCTTGCACGGCTCACTGGTGCCAGGGTGGGCAATAAGGACTCTGTCCTCTAAAAATTCAAGTTGTGTAGTTTGATCTACCTGGAGGTTCCCTTGGGAACTGGCACAAGAGGCCCTCTGGGCTGAGGCAGCACTAGTCAAAGAATTTCGAAAACCCACAACTTTCCTTATTGGATGGAGGCATTTATGGAAATCTCCAATGGGCCATTTGGTCTTTGTAGGAACTGCTGTGGAAAGGTTCCTAAACCAGTGTACAACTATGGCCCCCAGCAAGCAAGACTAACTGCCCGGAGAGGGACAGAACCTGATTTACAGAGTCAGCACATCCCAATATTCAAAACATCCAGTTCTCAACAAAACATTATAAAACATACAAAGCGACAGGAAATACGGACTATTCACAGGAAAAAGAGAAACTGTCAGAAACTGGCAAATATTGTCAGAATCAATTTTATCAGAACTCTGAAAATTAACCAAAGGCTTACAGTAACCTGTGCAGCACTTGTTCAAGAAAAATGGCTGGATCTGGTGAGCACAGCAAGAGCTGTGGTGTCGTGACCTACCCCGCCGTCACCCCCATGCACCCAGCTCAGTGGTAACCTTGAAAGGTAACTATTTCCAGGGCTTGAGGAGTAAAAATGAGTTGAACTCTTTCAAAGCCTCATTTCCAAAGAACACTTATTTCACAAAGACCCCCTGTCTGGTGTTCCCCAGAAGACCCCACTTGACAGGATATCTTTATTTCACCTGGTTCAAACCTGCCCGGTGCTGAAGTTGATCTCTGAAGGCTATTTGCTGAATATTTATACAGGTAAAAGTTTTAGCTGCCTGAGTCAAGAGGTAACAGCAGAGGCAAACAACAGATAACAAAAAAGCTTAGCAGGAAAGATGGGGGATGACATGGCTTGAGAGGCTCTGAAAAGCTCTGACACATGTCCAGGGATCCAGAGGGCCGTGTGTGTGCACAGCACCATGCACATGTGAAAGACAGGCCAGGGAAGGCCTTGAGCACTCACCTCTGGCTGAATCTGAGGCTCTGAAAAAACAAGGTGAAGTTAAAACCAAGTTGTCAACTGTTTCACTGAGTGCTGAAGGTGTTTCCTAAAATGCAGAGCCCCTTGGCAAAGAGTGGGAGATGTCTGGGATCCAGTCATCTAAGGAAATCTCTGTCCAATAATTAGGTGACCACTAAGCTAATGACACAGAGACTTTAGTGGCCACGCTTGACAAAGAATACAGACTTTATAGAATAAGTCCCTAATAAATAATAAAAGACACTAAGCAAATAGCAGCAACAACAAAAAGCCCCAGGAGGAAAAGAATCTAATTTCCAAAATTGCCACATTATACCATTCAAAATTTCCAGTTTTCAACAAAAAATTATGAGTCATGCAAACAACAAGACAGTACAGCCCATGCACAGGAGGGAAGAAAGCAATCAATACAAACTGTCTCTGAAAAAGCTCAGACATGGGCTTTCTTACCAAAAAAACCTTTAATTCAACTATTTTAAATATGTAAAAAGAGTTAAAGAACACCATCTCTAAAGAACTAAAGTATGAGAATAATGTCTTACCAACTAGATACTATCAATACAGAGTTAGAAATTAAAAAACAAAACAAAACAAAACTGTGGAGTTGAAAAGTACAATAAATAAAATAAAAAATTCACTAGAAGGGCTCAACAGTAGATTTGGGCTGATAGAAGAATCAGTGAACTTAAAGATACGAGAATTGAGATTACCTAGTCTGAGGAACAGTAAAAAGTGAAAAAAGGGAACACAGACATTGGGACCCGGGGAATACCATCAAGTACACCAACAACGGGAATCTCAGTGGTGAGGAGAGAAACAAAGAGGCAGAAAAGATATTTGAAAAAAGAATAGCCAAAACCTTCTCAAATCTGATGAAAGACATGAATCTATATATTCAAGAAGCCGAATACACACCAAGCAAGGAAAAGGCAAGGTTGTCTGCTAGGGAGGGGTAGTGGTTTGAAAAAGGTAGAGAAGGTTTAATGTAGACTGCAGAGATAGACAGTGAGGTGACCAAAGAGACGCAGGATGAGCAGAGCTGAGAGTCTAGCTGTGGTTGGTGGTCATAAGTTTCTAGTGGAACCAATATGCCCTCTTGTGTGGCTTGTCCAAAAGTGATCAGCTACTGGCACAGACAACATGCAACCGGGTTCCTCCGAAGTGGGGTTCCGTCATTTGCGAGGGTCAAAGGAATTCAGGTTACAGCCAAGAGAGTTACTAACATGATGGGCCTAAGCTACACAAGAAAGGATGTATAGCCAGTAATGTGGTGGTGGAATGAGAAAGAACACAAGACCAGAGGTGTCAATTGTTTGGAAAGCCAAATGCTTGAGAAATCCACTTAAGTAGACATAGCTGTAAAAGCATGCTGGAAAGACTAGAGTCGTGGCCAACTGAAGGACGGAGGTGGAACAGTTGTATGTGATGAAAACACCTGAAGTAAGACCATGGGAAGATGTACCTGAGGTAGGGCAGAGAAGATTACTGGGGTGAGGACCAGGGTGCTGGAGTGAAGGGCTGGGACAATGGGTGGCTCATCCATTCAGATGCTGAGTTCACTAAGCATGCTGGGAGGACTTGGGGGTGGAGGGAAAGACTGGATGAAGGTGCCAGAGGTTTAGGTGAAAAGAGGAAGAAATGGAGATATCAAAGTATTTACCACATGTACAGATGCCAGAAGCTGGAGGAAACAGGAAATGCTGTCACCAAAGAACTAGGCACCAACAATGTCAAGATGAGTAAAATAAAAACAAGAAAACACTTAACGGGTCCAAATGTAGGATTCTGCACTTGGGCTCAAGAGGACAAGCATACGAGGGAAAGTGTGCTGCTGCGGCTGGGCAGTGGCAGCTGGCGTCAGCTCAGACGATTCAGTGTGGTGTAGCCACCAAAAACTGAATACCCGACTAGAATTCCAACAGGCAGAATGGAAATTGCTCTGCTCTACGTGGTGCTCTCTGGACTGCCAACGCTGCCTTCAGATCCGTGTGGCTTCAGGGTGGGGACGGTGGAGACTCGAAATCACATTCCATGAGAACCGGCTAAAGGAATCACAGGTGTTTCCCATGAAAAGAGAGGACCCTGCAGCTGTGCCTCAGAAACAGACAGCCTCTCCTACAGGGTCGCGAGTGCACGGGTCTCAGTGGGCGGAGGGCACGGGGTGCAAGGGCACTGCAGCTCGAAACAAGGAAGGCGCTCTGAGAAGCACAGCGGCCTCAGGAGGCCGCAAGGCCTTCACCACTGAGGACATGACGGTGTAAGACAGACAACCTGGAAAGGATATTTTGGTGGAATCCCAATGTCAGCTGGGTGATTAGATCAAATAGCCTTTTTGATCCCTTTAACCCTAAGATTTTAACAAATTTGGAAAGCTTTTTGCCACTATTTATTCAGAATTTTTTCTGCCCCCCCCTCGCTCTCTTCTGCTTTGGGAGCTCTGACTATGTGCTTTCTAGGCCACGCACAGCTTGACTATGCTCTGGTCATTCTTTCAGTCTTTTTTCTCTCTACTTTTTATTCAGGATATGTACTATTGCTGTATCTTTAAATTCGCTAATCTTTTCTTATAAGTGTCTGGTCTGTTATTAATATCATCCAATGCCTTTTCACCTCTGACTTTTTTTCATTTCTAGATGTTCAATTTGTTTTGTTTTTATATCTTTGATGTCTCATTTTAACATGCCCATGTTATTCTATACCTTCTTAAAAATATGGAACATGGTTATAAAAGCTGTTTTAATATCACTGAGTACTAATTCTATCATCTGTTCGTTTCTGGGTCAGTTTTAATTGATTGATGTTTCTCTTCATTATGGATTTTAGTTTCTTGTTTCTTTATATGCCTGGTAATTTTTAATTATATGCCAGACATTGTGAATTTGACTTTGTTGGGTTCTGGGTATTCTCAAATTATCTTAACTACTCTTAAGCCTTGATACAGTTAAGTTCTGTGATGCAGTTAAGTTTCCTGGAAACAGTCTGATCCTTTTAAGGTCTGCTGTTAAGCTCTGTTAGGCAGGATCAGAGCACTCTTCATTTCTAGGGCAAATTCTTCTCCACTACTAAGACCCTGCTAAGAACAGCTGCCCCACGTATCATGAGGTTGTTTCATGCCAGCTGCATGAACTCCAAGGACTGTTCTGCTTGCTTCTTTCAGGTGTTTTCCTGCTGGCTTCAAGCAGTCGCCCCACGTGCATGCATGGCCCAGTAACCAGCTAGACTTGAGGGGACCCTCTGCAGAGCCCGAAGGCGCTCTCTGTGGAGCTCTCTCCTCTCTGGTCCCCTCCAGTGTCAACTCTGGCCACACGGCTTCCCAGAAGAGCCAGCTCTATGTCCTCAGCCAGGGAGGCAGAGGGGCTTCCCCTGTCCCGTGCACTGGCCTGGAAAGTCTGTCCCAGCTCGCCGGGCAATCGCAGCCTGCTCCCTGGGGTGCCTCCCCTCTCGGGGCTTACTATTTTGTGCTGCCTATTACACAACATCTGATAACTATTTTTAAAAATATATTTTTTTATCCAGTTTTTTAGTTGTTTAAGGCAGAAAGGTAAACCCAAGTCCCTATTACTCCATTTGGATCACCTGTCTGGTCCTAAGATTTTCTAAGTATTTGTTTAGGCATTGGTCTAAAACCAGTGAGGTCATTGCTTCTTGGCCTCTGGGCTAAGATCAAGTGTAAAACCAATGAGGTCAGATGAAACTAGAAGAACACATTTGAAAATAAAACTGAATTACTTCATGAGAGTAATATGAGGCAAGTGGTGCAAATTATTAAAGCTTTCTCATGAAGAGGATTTTTTATTCAAAAGACACTTTGTTATATCTATATAATTATGCAAACACATAATTATAGAAAATGCAATAATATTTAACCTAAGCTTGAGTCAGTAATTTTTATAAGTACTGCCTAGAACCAATCATGCATGTCACCAGCATGCCGTGGATTGTGAGGGCCCCTTCTGGGAAGGAGGATATTCCATGGCTTTTTCTGTGTATCTCTGAGCAAAGGAGAAACTCCACTCAGGTTTGATGAACAAGTGAAGAAGGCACAGGAGGAGTGGGGATGACTGTCACCTTGCGCAAACCCATCCACATGCAGGGAGTGCTGTGCTGCTCACTCCTGGCAGTCCTACTGGTCTTCCTGTGAAGTAAAGTGCTACTTGCCTCCTCACGATCACAAAAGTACAGTGAAGAAAGAAATATGAAACTAAAGACATTTTTCTAGACAAGTACATACCTGTCACTGGTGAACACATAGGCGACCACATCTTTCAAAGCTGCGAGTAACAATCCCAAGGCAAGTGCACAAACTCCTGGAAAATACAGCAGAAGCAACTGGAAATGACAATTCTCCAGAGTATGACAAGCCTGAGGGAGGATTTCCCATGAAATATCTGTGTCAATGATTTAAGAAATGTAGTAACGTAAATAGTGTTTCTTTTTTAATTATGTGAACAAATTTACTATTTTTAAGAAAGTGTTTTCATTTTGTGCAAATCTTTATTGGTAGGACTATATACTCCAGGCTTTTGTTTTTTTAGAGACAGGGTCTTGCTCTGTCATCCAGGCTAGAGTGCAGTGGCATCATCAGAGCTCACTGCAGCCTCCAACTCCTGGGCTCAAGTGGTCCTCCTGCCTCAGCCTCCCAAGTAGGCTGGGATTTACAGCCAAGAGCCACCATGCCCAGCCTGTAAATAGTGCTTCTTTTTGCTGTCTCTGAAAAGATCAACGGTCAGACTCCTTTTTCAAGGGAGACTTTGATCTTTTCAGAAACAGCAAGAAGATGCTGAATACGATATCAATACAATCAGAGTCTTTTCTAACTGCTTGGATTCTAGAACATTAGAACTGCCAGAGGAGGCAGTGGTCCAGGAACACAGAGAACTGGTTACTTACACTATGGTCATAAAATAAGACTGTGGATGATAATTACCTTTAAAATTAGTGCCAAGTACAATATTGTTTAGTTGGTATAGAATAACAGAAAATCATAATTAAAAGCTGAATTTAACTCAGTAAATCAGAAAGAGCATACTGAATAGAGGTTTTAGTTGAGTGCACATGTGATTCAATTCCTGGAGAAATTCTGACATGCAGAGTTTAACTTACCACACTAAGCTCAGCGGGCACGCCCAGGAGCAGAGCTGCCGTACTCACCAGCACACAGGAGAACAGCGACGCAGGAGCACCGTGCCCGCTCGACGTCCCCTGCCCCCAGAGCATTGCCCACTTGGACACTGGCTGCCACCCCAAAGCCAAGGGGCACCTGAGAATTAATAAGCATAAATCAGAATCATAAATCCTGAAACCTGGAACATTAGTGCACTAGAGTCTAACTATGACACATGGAAACTTGAGGCAGACTTGGGGATTCTGGAACTGGCCCCTGACATCCCAGCTGTGCGACCACAGACCAATTGCTTGGCTGCCTGATGCCTGCTCTCTCTGGCAACGAGTAACAGCTGCCCTGACGGCACCCTGGGGCAAGTGTATCCCAGCAGAGCCTCGTAACGACACTGGGTTTGAGGGCAAAACACCTCTTTTATTGGCTACGCACACTGTCAAGACTTAATTTAACCTAGCTACATTCTACACAGATTTAATGGCTAAATATAAACCTATACATGATTTGTAACAATGAAATGAACCATGTGAAAAAGCACTTAGAGCAATGCCTGGCACACTGCACAGACTCCCTAAACACTGACGAATCTGATTCCACATCTCACTGCCGGTGGGACAGATGGAACATTCCACACATTGATTATTCAGGAAATTGAAAGACGCCCCTTCAAATGCCAAAGCTTTATTTTAATTGTTGATCATGGAAGTCTAAAGCTATAAGCTTCTTTGCTTCTTAAATAAGCCACCAGTTAACGTTCAGGGCCATCCTTTGACTCGTTATTACCCTGTAAGGCAGTGCTGCCTTGGGCTGTCTGGGTAGTGTGGTTTGGGCTCTAATGTCCGCTTTTAATCATTTATGTGTCAGCACTAACTTCTCCTTCCTACTAGAAGCAGCATCCTCCCAACAGCCTTAATTGATCACTGTTTTGGAAACTAGCCTGAGTTGATAAAAATAAATATTAAATTGTTAAGATTAAGAACTTAAAAAACAATAAACATGACTGTAAAACCTTTGTAAGACCTGTGTGCCCACAGCAGGCATAACTGGCTTCTAGTTCAAGATGAGTAACTGGCTCATAATTCCCTTCCCTCCCCAAACACCCTTAGTGGAAAATGAATTCACTGACAACACTGGGAAAGAGCAGGCCAGCTTCTGGAAGAGGAAGAGCAGGCGGTGTCACTGTGACCCTGGGCTGGAACCACAGGAAGCCACAGCCCAGAATGCACAGGCGGCCGACGGCACCCTTCTTCCCAGGGGCGCCCTGGGAGCCCTGAAGCCTCAGGGTGGTGGTAGCGCACGGAGGAGCAGCAGGCAGGGAGAGGCACCAGAGGGCACAGACAGGACAGCCCGACCCCATCGCCACCCGCACCCCCTCAGACTCACCGCACACAGAAAGGCTGGGCTGACAGGAAAGCCCCAAGTGTGAGTTCCCTACATGGAGTGAGTCAAGCTCTTTTCTTAGGGGACAGGTGGGACGTGGGGGTCAGGGTGGGGCAGGGAAAAGGTCGAGCTGCCTACTCCCCACCCATAACACTGACACGAAGATGTCACCTGACAGATGATGCCGCCATTGTACTGGGTCCCCTGCAGCAGGTCCATCCCATCCAGGGGAGGGGTCTGCTGGAGAACAATCTCCAAAATCCGGACTGGAAAGCCACACTGGCCATTTATTCTATAAGTCGCTGTGCTCTGTCACTCGTGTTAATATAAACAGAATAATAAGATCACCAGAGGAAATCTGAAGCACTCATCCTCCAAAAAGATCAAAATAAATAAAAGGCCAGTATCTCAAAGGAAACCAAATGGATGACTCAAGGAACACAAAGGAATGTTTAAAGGCTCAATTTAGCAACCTCAAAGGCATATAAAAGATAATGCAGCATAAAAACAGGTTCCTATGAAGAAGGGATTATAAGAGAAAAAGAAAGAGTTCTTGGAAACTAAAAAAACTTAATAGCAACACTAGAAGATAAGCAAAGAGACAAAAGAGATTTTGTAAAAAAAAGTCAAAAGGGAGAAGATTGATCCAGAAGGCAACCTCAACCTAATAGGAAATTTAAAAAGAGAGAATAGAAAAAATTTACAAAAAAGAGAGAAAGAATATGTTTTAAATTTCCCAGAGCTGAAGAAAAACACCAAGTCTTCAGACTGAATATACCAAGTACTAAGCAGAAGTGATAGAGCAGCCTCAGAGAAATATATTTTTGTGAGATTTCAGAACTATAAAGAAATAAATGTTAAAACTTTCAAGAAGAAAAATCATGTTATCTACAAAGGAACAAGAGCCAGACTCTGACTAGACTTCACCTTAGTAACTCTGAGTATCATGGGAGCACAGAGCAATGCCTTCAGAGTTCTGAGGGAAATTATTCTGAACCTAGAATTCTATACACAATTAAATTATTAAACAGATTATTTCCCCTTATTATAATTTGAGAGAAAAATAAAGATTCTTTCAAATGCACATGGCTCACAAAGTACCTTCCATATAATCTTAGGAACAAGTTATTTGACTAAATACTCCAAAAAAATTCTTTTAAAGGAATCTATGAAAGAGGAAGAAATGGGACCAAGGGAACCATAGACTTGATTCAGGAAGATCATGAGTGAGATTCTGGAGTGACAGCTGTGCCACATGCCAGTCCGGCAATGGATGGATTCAGATTAAAACCAGGAAGCAAAGAGCCCTATGGTGTTCAAGAAAAAAACGGACTAAGACTTAACGGTGTGTTTAATGGATGATGTTAGCAACAGGGTGAGGGCACATGCTGTTCTGTCATTTAGGAAATAAAGCCTATTGGATGCACCATAAAAAACAAATAAACAGCTATCCAAGAAAAGGCATGGCCTAAATATGAAGCAAACTAAAATATGACATGATTTTGACCAACTGATGAAAGCAAGAAAAAATAATCCATTTCATCTTTCAGTTGTAAAAGTCTCTTTCAAGTGGGAGAGTCTTGGTGACTACTGGGAATGCATTTCCTTCTCACCTGATGCAAGATCATCACTTGGATCTGTAAATAATCATATTTCCAAAAATCATATTATAAATGTTGGGTTTTTTTAGACAACCTCTAATACATGAAAGACATGATTGTTATTATACAACACAATTCAAATGTTTTAACCTTCACCAAATAAAAATAGTGACATAGCTGAGTGGTAGCATAACACTGTGATTAAGACCATGACCTCTGGAGCCAGGCCCTGGACTCAGATCTGAGCCAATTACTTCCTTCAACTTAGACAAATGATAATCTCTGGGCTCCAGCTTCCTTGTCTGTGAATATGTGGGAAATAAAGGGAATGCCTCATATAGCACTGTAATGATGGGTCCATGAGCTACTACTACTTACAGTGTTTTGAATAGCTCCTGGCTCACAGCATGTGGGCGGTTGTTAAATAGCTTATGGAATTTGGGAGGAAACTGGGAAGAGAGATGAGAAGAAATGTAAGGTCACAATGTTCCTCATCTTACAACGCAGGGGTTGTCATGGGCTCTGTGAAGTTGATGGACCAAGAAAGAGAGGTCTATGCATATTAAAGTCATACATGATATGCCTACGAAGACAAGTGCCACAAGGCAGAGGGAGATGCTGTGGAAAATGAGCTGTATTTCTCGTCTCTGCAATGTGGAGTCAACAGTTACTGGACAAAGGCGATCAGAAACGTGGGTCTAAAGCTCTCGTGACACTCATTAGAACTAAAACCAGACATGGTTAAAAAGAGGGACAGCTCTGGGGAACTAGACTAACTAAAAAGAGGAAGCAAATTCATTTTCAGTTTTGTTAACTTCTGAACTATGTGAATATATTATATGTTGCTTAGTATAATTTGTTTTTACAATAAGACATTTTTAAGAATACATAAAAGTCTAAAAGAAAATAGTGAGGGCCAGGTACAGTGGCTCATGCCTGTAATCCTAGCACTCTGGGAGGCTGAGGCGGGAGGATTGTTTGCGCTCAGGAGTTTGAGACCAGCCTGAACAAGAGTGAGACCCCGTCTCTACTAAAAATAGAAAGAATTTGGCTGGACAACTAAAAATATATAGAAAAAATTAGCCAGGCATGGTGGCGCATGCCTGTAGTCCCAGCTACTTGGGAGGCTGAGGCAGGAGGATCGCTTGAGCCCAGGAGTGTGAGGTTGCTGTGAGCTAGGCTGACGCCACAGCACTCTAGCCCAGGCAACAGAGTGAGATTCTGTTTCAAAAAATAAAATAAAATAAAATAGTGAGAAAAACTTATCACAGATGCAACTGATAGAAAACCAGTAACAATCTTTTAGTTACAAGGAGCTCATATAAATTGAAAGATATAAATTGAAAAGAAAAACTAACCACTAACCCTCAAACTGATTAACAGGTGAAGGACATGAACAGATAATTAAAAAAAAAACAACTGTTAATAGTTAAATATAGTCAACCTCACTAATGAAAAAATTTTAAATGTCCATGTTTCATATACTGAGTTAGCAAAGATTTTTTTGAAAAGCTCATTTCTGACAGATTTTCTTTGCTTGGAACTATGTTCTGGAGGATGAAACTCTGCGCGTGAGACACTGGGTGAACCAATCACTGGCAACACTGAAAACCAGGCAAATGGCAAGTCCAGTTATGCTGCAGTGATTAGGTGAACAGTACTATCTTGAGGTGCTCGTTATACAAAGACAAATCAGATTTTTACACTGTTTTTAGGAAGGGTCTTTTAAAAACATGAAAAAAGGCTAGGAACAGTTGCTCACGCCTGTAATCCTGGGAGGCCGAGGCAGGAGGATTGCTCAAGGTCAGACCAGCCTGAACAAGAGTGTGACCCAATCCCTACCAAAAAGCAAAAGCAAAAAAAAAAAAAAAAAAAAAAAAAAGAAGAAGTAAAAATAAATAAAGAAATAACATGAAAAAGTGCATGTATGGTACTATTAAGTGAAAAAGCAGGAGACAGCTGTGGGGAGACCAAGCAGAACACAGAGATCTGAGTTGGAGAGGAGATTTCACTTCAGAGTCTGTCTTTGGTAAATTTAGTTTACCTTCCTTTAGTATGACTACAGATTATTTGGACTTAATTCTACCACCTTGTGTTATTTATGATACTTTCTTTTTGCTTTTTTGCCTTACTTTCACTGTCTTATGTTGGATTGACAGTGTTTTCTTAATTTTCTTTTTATTCCTGCTACTGGTTTCAAAACTATATATTCTATTTCTTCCTTTTTGGTTATTCCCTTAAATGTCAACATGCATGCCTGACTAAAAACTTAAGTTAATCACTATCTCCTATCCTCTTCCCTGATAATATCTAGATTGCTAATATAATTCTCTCCCAATCTTACCTTTTATTACTGTACATATTTTATTTCTACCTTATGTTTGCACTGTGTAAATTAGCCTATTATTATCATTTTTTGTTTATAGTCAATGCTAACTTAGATTTACCCATATTTTCCAATTTCTTTGCTCATCATGACTTGGGGATCAGTGTTTCTTTCAATGAAGGTCTATAAATAAGTGGTGATGTCTCTCAGTCTTTGCCAGAAAATGTCTTTTCAGAGCAATTGTTTTGTCAACACTTTGATGATATCAGTCACTCTCTTCCAAATGTCTTCTTCTCCAGGACCGTGGTGACTATTTTGGTGCCTTGCGTCTCCATGTGGATTTCAAGATCAGCCTTCCAATCTGACAGCCTGTTCCGAGTTTGACAGTTTGACAGGGATTACACTGAATCTGCAGATCGACCTGCCATCCTGTAAGTCTTCCAACCCATTAGTAGAGGAAATCTTTCCATTTATGTAGGTCTTCTTTAATTTCTTTCAACACTGTTTTGCAGTTTTCAGTGTGTGAGACCTGCACTCCTTTGGTTGAATTTATTCTTAAGTATGTTACTCTTTGTGATGCTTTTGTGAAAGGAGAATTGTCTTCTTAATTACATTTTCAGATTGTTCATCGCTAATGTACAGAAATACAACTGATTTTTGTGTACTGATCGTGTGTCTTGCAATTCAGCTGAACTCATTTATCAGCTCTAGTAGCTTCAGCTTTTCGTACGTGGAACCCTTAGGGTTTTCTATATGAAAAATCGTCATATACTAACAGAGATAGTTTTACTTCTTCCTTTACAATATGGATGACTTTTATTTCTTTTTCTTGCCCAGGATAGAATATCCAGTACAAAGCTCATTAGATTTTTGAATATTAAGATTCATGTCTTACTTAGATCATCTCCCGTCAAACATCTATGACTACTAAATCCCCACCAGCTTGCTATTCTCTCACTGTGGACTTCCTACTAGATATATAACGACCTCCATCTTTCATATATTCCATCTCTTTACATGTCTTTGTTTTATTCTAGGGAATTTCCACATATTTAACTTCAGGTTCATTGTTTGATTTTTCAGTTGTAACTAATCTGCAGTTTAGCCTACCAAGCATTAAATTTCAATGGGTATATTTTCCACTTCTAGGAGTTTTAATGGTTCTTTTCCATATATTGTTCCTTTGGTTTCAATCCCTTTTTTTTTTCTAGAGACATGCTCTTGCTCTGTCACCCAGGCAAGTGACAGTGGTAAGATCATAGCTCACGGCAGCTTTGAAATCCTGAGCTCAAGCGATCCTCCCACCTAAGCTAACCTCCCAAATAGCTAAGACTACTCGTGCACACCACCATGCCCAGCTAATTTTTTTCATTTTTTTGTAGAGACAAGGCCTCACTATGTTGCCCAAAGCAGTCTCAAAACTCCTGGCCTCAAGCAATCCTCCTGCCTTGGCCTCCCAAAGTGCTGGGATTACAGGTGTGAGCCACTGTACCCAGCCTTAATTCTTTCTTTTATGTCTAACAATATTAAACATAATAATTTTCTATTCTCTTTCTGATTATGATACCATTATCTCAAATTATGAACTCTAATTTCTGTTAGTTTTGTCTGTTAACTCTTGTTTATGGTGAATCATTTCTTTGTATTTTATAATTGTTACTGTAAACTCACCACTAAGGGGACTTGTTTTTTCCATGGGAATAATGAAGAATTATCGCCTCACTGTCTCTAAAAAAAGGAGCCTGGGAGAAGCAGCAGAAAAGGAGAAGGTGGTTGCCAGGGCTGGGGTTGTTGAGTGGGGACAGAGCTTCAGTTTTTCAAGATGAAAAGTTCTGGAGAAGTCTGCTGTACACCTAGGCACATAGAGTTCACACTACTGGACTCTATACTTCAAATGGCGTGTGCCTGTGGTTCCAGCTACTCGGGACACTGAGGCAGGAGGATTGCTTGAGCCCAGGAGTTTGAGTCCAGCCTAAGCAACACATCGTGGACCCTGTCTCTAAACAAAACTAAAATTAAAAATATATACATACAGTAAAAACATGGAAACCAAAAACAGCCTATAACCTCACTGCTCAGCTGGCCTGTAATCTTTAAAAAAATAACACACTAACAAAGCAAAAGTACTGTCCATACTGGTTGGGACATCAAAAGGTTAGCAGGTGTTACACAGGTGTTCAAGCCAGAATAGTGATCCTTCTCGTTCACTGTCTTGCATTCCACAGCCAAACCCTGGCTGTGGCCTGTCTGTCTGTCCATTCTGCCTCGACACACGACTGGTTCATCCCTTTTTCTCCTCCCCCACTGGCAGTCTTCTGAGCGCTCCCCTAGACAACCGGACAGCCTGTCCGCCCCAGCTGCTCCACACGCCCGCGCCCCGCCAGCTGCTCCCGCACGCAGGGCACCAGGAGTGACCGGTTCCTTCCCGAGCCCTGGCCCTGGCCCTGCCTCTGACCTGCCCAGCGCCTTCTCCTCCTCCGCACTGGCCCTCGCCGGCCGGCCAGGTGCTCTGTCCCTGGCAGAGCCTCGGCCCAGGCTGCGCAGTCAGCTTCCACCCTTCAGCTCTCAGCTCAGGCCGCAGCGCGGAGGCCACTCCTGACTCCCGGGCTAGAGGGGTCCCCTGGGGCGCAGTGGCTCTCGCCTGCAACCCCAGCTACTTGGGAGGATTGCTTGAGTTTGAGATAGGCTTGGGCAATATAGCAAGACCCCGCCGCAAATGAATAAATAAGATTAAAAGCTTTTAATAAATAAGATTAAAATGAATAAATAAGATTAAAAGGTTTAGTCTTAAAATAAGACTAAAAGGTTTAATAAGATTAAAAGGTGTTTTTATCCCTTTTAGACCCTATTTTGCTCTTTTATGGAACTTATCAAATATGATATTTGCAACTATCTTATTCATCTATTTTTCTCCATCTCCCTCCGGGGCCACAAGAGGGCAGGAGCTGTCTCGTCTCCCCAACTCTGCACTGGGAACAAGCATGCCAGGCATCGGGCTGTTTCTTTTTAATGTGTTCTCAGTGGTCACCCGCAGAGTAGGAATTTCCCCACTGTGTGTGTGCGGGACCGCAGCCTGGAAGGGCTGAGCAACACGCCTGCGTCTCACAGCCGGGAGCGGCGTGGCCGTGGCCCCGACCCCGCTCTCCCCGCCAGCCGCGCTCTCGGGCTGCCTGGTCCCCCTGCCCCGTGCACTGAGCACCTGCAGTGACCGCAGCCTGGCCCGCAGGGCAGGCGCCTCTGGAGCTCACCATGTAGGCCACAGACGCCAGCTGGTAGACGATGCCCTGGGCTCCCAGCTCCGTCACGTCGATCAGTCCTGGCGCCGGCACAGACACACGAAACACGTTTCAAAAGGTGGATTACAGCAAACATTTTCCTTATGAAACTAGAATTTCTTCTCATTTAAGAGAAGCCAACAATGCCCTCCAGAAGCACGGCCTGATGGGGCAATTCAGCGCCTGTGCTCAGACCCCAGACATCTGTCCCCAGGGCGTTAGCACGGTCTCATCAGCTCAGATGTGACCAGGGCCCATCTACAAGTCCTGACTCCACCAGGGGACAGAGGTCAGGTTCAACGGTGAAGAGAGGGAGTCTCCTAGAGGTGTGGGCTGTGCCGCGGCAGGGAGGCATGGGGCCCCGCGGCGGTGGGAGGGGAGGCAGGCAGGCCGCATGGAAGCGCCTGTCACCGCAGGCCAGTGATCACCGCCCTGTCTCAGCTGCTTGCAGTTACTTTACCAATAACAAGATGGCTACACTGAACACCTACGGCCAAGACTCGTAAGGTTCCAACAGAAACACATCCTGGCTAAAACAGGGCCAAATCAGTCACTCTGTGTTTGTAAAAGTCTCAGAAACTTGGCTTGGGGCCTGGCAAAAGCCAGCTGAGCACGGGCTGGGCTGAGAGGGCCATGGGCGGGCTGGGGCTCTCATTCTCCCAGTCCATGACCCTAGCAAACCTCTCACCAGTGGCCTCCCTCTCCTCACTTACGCAATGAAGGACTCTGTAGTGAGGCTGAAGCCCGCCCAACCTGAATATGCCTATGGTCACACGAGGACTTAGCTCTGTACGGAAACCTCTAGAGAGCCCGAGGAAATGGGGCAGGACCGGGACGCTCTGGAGTCACAGCCAGCCAGACCACAGAGTGGTCCCTGCTGGACTGCTGCTCACAAACCTGCAAGGAAGGTCCCGATCTCAAAGGTCCACCACTCGATGCACACCATGAACATACTGGGCACGGCCAGGTAGATATAGGAGTCCCACTCCTGGAAGCACTCCCTAGTCCAACCTAAAAACATGGGAAGACATGAGTTTGCTTTTCAACAGGCTCTGACCTCAACAATTCAACGTTGCATACTCGCATCCTGCAAATGACCAGAGACTAGGAGTAACCTCAGTTTTCCAGCAAAATGTATCATAAAGATGTCAAACAAAGCTAGGCATGGTGGTTCATGCCTGTAATCCAGTGCTTTGGGAGGTGGAGGCAGGAGGATCTCTTGAGGCCAGGAATTCAAGACCAGCCTGAGCAATATAGCTAGACCCCATCTCTATAATTAAATAAATAAATAAAAAAAAGATGTCAAATAGGACCAGAGTTTGAGATGGCAGGCACTAAGCTGGCAATACTTACTGAAACTTAAGTCTGTATATGCCCTGTCACACATTCTACTCCTGGGTAAAAATGGTAGAAAAATGTTTACAGAGCTCCATAAAAGAAAACACGGAGAGCATTCACTGTGGCAGACTGTGGTTGTGGGGTGTGGAAGACACCGAGGAGACCATCACACTGGGGAACTAGAGAAGTAAAATCTGATAGATTAATTAATATTATAGATAAAAGCAAAACACTGGATTTACATATGGCAATGTGGATAGATCTAAAAATACACGGTACTAACAGGCAACAAAACAGATAAATTGGGACTACATCAAAATTAAAAACTTCTGTGTATCAAAGGACACAATGAGGCCAGGCGCGGTGGCTCACGCCTGTAATCCTAGCACTCTGGGAGGCCGAGGCGGGCGGATTGCTCGAGGTTGGGAGTTCGAAACCATCCTGAGCGAGACCCCGTCTCTACTAAAAATAGAAAGAAATTAATTGACCAACTAAAAATATATATACAAAAAATTAGCCGGGCATGGTGGCGCATGCCTGTAGTCCCAGCTACTTGGGAGGCTGAGGCAGCAGGATTGCTTGAGCCCAGGAGTTTGAGGTTGCTGTGAGCTAGGCTGATGCCACGGCAGTCACTCTAGCCAGGGCAACAAAAGTGAGAAAAAAAAAAAAAAAAAAAAGGACACAATGAGCAGAGTAAAAAGGCAACCCATACATGGGAGAAAATATTTGCAAATCATGTATCTGATAAGGATATAAATAACTCCTACAACTCAACAACAAAAACAAGTGGCCTGATTTTAAAATGGGTAAAGAACTTGAATAGACAAGGTTCCAAAGTTGATATACAGATGGTCGACAAATCCACAGAAAGATGCTCAACATCACTAAGCATCAGGGCAGCGCAACTCAAAACCACAGTGAGGTATCACCTCACACCCATTAGGGTGGCTACCATTAAAAAAAACAAGTTTGGGCAAGGATGTAGAGAAATTGGAACCCTAGTGCACTGTGGGTGGGAATGTAAAATGGTGCAGCTGCTGTGGAAAAACTACAGGATGGTTCCTCAAAAACTTAAAAATAAAATTACCATATGATCCAGTAATTCCACTTCTGGGTATATACCCAAAAGAACTGAAAGAAGGGTCTTGAAGAAATATTTGTATACCCATGTTCACAGAAGCATTATTCATAGCAGCAAAAGATGGAAGCAACCCATGAGTTGGTTTTTAATGGGTAAGTAGTTTTGCAAGAAGAGTGGTGATGGTTTTACAACAATGTGAACGTACTTAATGTCACTAAACTGTACACTTAAGTGTGGTTAAAATGATAAATTTTATGTTTTGTATATTTTACCACAATTAAAAACAAAAAACCAAAAAGAAAACAATGTGTTAGGTCAGAGGTTAATGAACTTCTTCTGTCAAGGGCCAGATGGTAAATATTTTCAACTCTGCAGACCCAATGGTCTGCTGCACCCACTCAGCTCTGCTTTAGCAGCGCAAGACCAGCCACGGGCAATATGTAAATTATTAGATGTGGCTGTGTTTCAATAAAACTTTATTTATAAAAACAGGCTATAAGCAGGACTTGGCTCATGGGTTTGAAGCTCAACCTCTGTGCTAAGTGAAAAAGTTTATGACAGAGAAGTCTAAACTATAATACTACTAGGTAAATATAAACATATACATGGACCAAAAAGAAGCTACATATTTTTCAAAGATACATACTAAAAGGCATATATCAAACACAGAGAATGCCTTGAGGGAGGAGAATGGGAACTATGAAATAAAATGGAGAAATATCCTAAAATGGGACAGGGACAGTGACAGAAATGATGACATCAGTGTGGTATGAATGTGAGTATGAGAAATTTGGTTTTTCGCATCTGAAGTTCAGTACAGGAGAGGGAGAGAAGGGAGTGGGCAGGAGGTAGGCACTGAAAGACATCAAGGAATTTCTACAACATAAAAGCAAAGAAAGGCACCAAGAGCCAATTAGCAACTCGCCTTATTGGGGAGCAATATGGTCTTCTCAGAGAAGACAAGGGTCTGGGACCTCACTGCATACCCTCAAATTTGGAGGTGATGGTTTGAGGAAAGAATAACATGGAGAACTAGCAGAGAATGAACTACATGAATTGTTTGATGACTATAGGTGGCAGGAAGGCAGGGGGTCAAGGTGCAGGCCATGGTGAGCAGGGCACCAGCAAAGTTCTGTCCTTCGTCTGTAAATAAAGACCAGAAAACCTGCCTGCCAGCTTGCAGTCACGGGCACAAGCAAGCTGCCTAGTCCAAGTCACGAGTGCAAACAGTCTCCATGTATAGGAGAAAGGCCCGAACTTGAAGTACAGTCACAGTGAGGAAACCCTGAGCTAAGAAACTGGGTTTGAAACAGGTATATTCCATGAGACCTCAGCAGATAAAACCTTTTAAAAAATGGACAAGGCATGCACATGACTCACAAGGAAGAACACTCCCTTGGGAAGATCAGCTCACAGACAAAGACATAAAGAAATCAGTCTAAACAACAGTTTGATGTGGCAAGTATCAATCAGACACTGCTTGGTGAAATTAAGCGTTATATTTCAACACATCTAAGATGTCATTATGTACCAAAAAAGAGTCTGACAATTAAATTATGTACGATATCTTAACGCATCAACTGGAAGTTGAATTCCAATTTTAGAGATACTAAAATGTGAAAAAATATGAATCTTGGAATCAACAAAATACAAGTCTTGGTATGTTCCATGACCCAGGACATAATCAGGCAATAAACCCAATGCCAGGAAAGAAACTTCATAAAACCAATACACAAAAGATTTCTACCTGATGAAGTAGAAATAACAGTACAGTCTGAAAGAAATTTTAAAATAAGCATTCTTAAAATGTTCAAAGGCAGGAGGATTTGAAATAAGGATAAACAGAAATAAAAAAGAACCAAGTATTATAAAATCTTAGAAATGAGAAATATAATTGTTGAAATTAAAATTGAGAAATGAATTCAAAACTAGATAAGACACAGCTTAAAAGATAATTAGTGGCTCTGTTTTTTTGTTCCTAGAGGCAAGATGGCTGATCAGAGACATCAGCTGCCGGAGTGTCTCAGTAAGAAATTTTAGATGAAAGAGAAAAAATGAACAAACATAGATCAGGTGTGGGTCTGAGGAAAGGGTGCCATAACCTTTAAGAAACTCCACAGGAAGAAGTGGAACAGAACAGGAAGGAGAGAGGTATCAGCAGAGACCAACCCTCAAGAGGCTTGGAGTCCAGTGAGAATGGCAGGTGGAGCAGTTTGTTTCTCTCTCCCTTACACCTCGGACAGTCAGTGGGTCTTCCGAGCTGCTGGAGAGACTTTCTACCCACATGACCCCAGAGGCTGCTGTCCTCTGCTGTGGCAGAGAATAAGGACTCACCTGGAAATTCCAAGGTCACACCCACCACGTGGGCATTCGAGCACTTCTTCTGAGGGACCAGATCCAGTCACAGGATCCAAAAACAACACTGCAGCTAGGTCTGTCAAGTGCCATCTACTGATATGGAGGTCAATTTGCATGCCCTTCACAGCATTTACTGACTCAATCACACAGGGTGTGGCTGTCATCCACAAGCACCACCTACTGGCTCAGAGGTGAAACTGGATATCTATGACCAAGGCATTCATCCAGAACACAGATAGCCATCAAAGCACCCACAAGCAAAGCCAAAGGTTCTTTCTTAACGTACGCTACCAACACACCCATATGAGTGAGGGGAGGGGAAAAAGCCCTATCTAAACAAAAAAAATTCAAAAATAAGAAGCAATAGCTGTCCAGAATGAGAAGGAATCAGCAAAAGAACTCTGGAAGTATGAAGAATCAGAGAGCAAAAGGACACCTTCAAAAGGGAACACCAGCTCTCTACCAATAGATACCAACCAAAATGAAAATATTGAAATGGACAGATAAAGAATTTCAAATATGGATTATAAGGAAGCTCAATGAAATCCAAGAGAAAATGGAAAACCAACTCAAAGAAATCAGAAAAACAATTCAGGTTAGAAGTTGGCTACTAAAAAAAAAGAAAAAAAAATTCAGGAAATGAATAAAAAATTCTCAGATCACAGAGAAATAAAACTAGAACTCCAAGAGAAACACTCAATTCTACATAAAGTCATGGAAATTAAATAACCTGCTGTTGAATGATTATTGATTCAATGATGAAATTAAGATAGAAATTAAAAGATCCCCTGAACTGAATGACAAAGAAGATACAAGCTATCAAAATGTATGGGATACAGCAAAAGCAGTCCTAAATAGAACATTCATAGCCTTAAATGCCTGCATCAAAAAGACAGAAAGATCACAAATTAACAAACTAATGACACATCTCAAGGAACTAGAAAAGGAAGCGCAAACCAAACCCAAAGCCAGCAGAAGAAAAGAAATAACTAAGGTCAGAGCAGAATTTAATGATATTGAAAACACGAAAATTATACAGAAGATCAATGAAACAAAAAGTTGGGTTTTGAAAAGATAAACAAAATTGGTAGACCATTTGCTAGATTAACTAGGAATAGAAGAAAAAGCACTCAAATAAGCTCAATCAGAAATGAAAAGGGAGATATTACAATTGATACTACAGAAATACAAAATATCACGTGAATAATAAGAAAATCTCTATGCTTATAACCTC